ATACAATAATAACAATAATAAATGTGTATGGTGCCATTAATTATGGTACACCGCAAAATAGACGCCATTACTAAAAAGTTTTCATTTGTTAAAGGACTAGGTTTGTTCTGATAAAATTATAAATTATAAAAAAAGAGACGTCATTAATTATAGTGTGTCCCAAAATTATACTTATTATTATGAAAGGGCTGACAAGGCTTATTGATACATTTCCCAAAAGAAGTCAAAGTATTTTTTAATAAAAAGTTTTCATTTCTTTAATAAAAAATTTTAGTTTTTATTAATAAGATAAATTTATTATACCTTATTTTTGTTGAAAGAATACAAAAATGCATGTGTATATCGTAATAATAATAATAATAATAATAATAATAAATGTAATAATAATAAGAATAATAAAAATAATAATAAACATGATAATAAGTGTAATAATAATGACAAGCGTAGAAGATAATTAAACCTTATTTTGGTTGGAAGAATGTAAAAAAACATATATAAGTGTGAGATAATATATGGTAAGTGTTGAATTTTGAAATGGTAATATGTCTTCTATTTGGTCAATTAACAACGATTACTTGCACATGCTTATATGGTAATAATAATAACAACAACAACAACAATAATAATAATAATAATAATAATAATAATAATAATAACAATAATAATAATAATGATTGTGAATGGTGCCATTAATTATAGTGTACCCCAAAATAGAGGCGTGAATATTTAAAAAGTTTCCATTGGCTTGGTTTGTTCCGAAAATTATAAATTATAACAAAAATTGATGCCATTAAATACAAAAAAGGAACAAAAATTTTCATACTATATATACGGTCATTTTCAATCACTTTCGTAATTAGCCTCTCTATTTTTTTTATGTTTTTAAATAATATTCCTTTATTTTTATGTGGTATATAAAACTCTCCATTTTATTATTAGTTCGGCAAGAAAAATGGTAAAAAACCATTAAATATGAACAAAATTTGTGGCCAAAGTTTTGATTTGACTTATTTATATTTTTAAAACTATACACATAAATTTAAGATTTAATTGCAGAAAGGATATTATTAGATAATTGGTGATGTGGTTGACATTGAAAATACCAACGAATGATGTTATCTTGGTTCCAGATTTAAGTGCAAAAAATATGATAGAGATTATCCTGAAGGAGTGTATATGTTAAATATTGTAATTCAATAATTTTTAAATACTTTGTACCTGAAAATAATAAAATCTATATATTCTATTAGATATTAATTTGTATTTTTCATCTTTATCTAATAACGTAAATATGACCCGTGCAACGCACGGGTGTGGTACTAGTTCTATATAAAAATAAATTGACAATCCAACTTTTATAAAAACATTGGACAATTAATTTACCAATTTCTACCCCTAACTTTTCATCATCAAAAACTTTGTGTTGTTTGGAACTATCTCCTTTTACACTTTTTATTTTATCTCTAAAACCAAAAAGACCAAAAAAATAATTTACAACTTCTTTTGTAAACTTTTGTTTAAATTAAATTAACTCACGTCTCCCTGAGGTTCGACACCCTACTTACAAGGGATTCTTTTTAGTTGTTATTTTTGCCCGTTCTATACTGCAAATCAACTTTGCGCCGTTGCCGGGGAGACGGTTTGAGTTTTTTTTTTATTTTAAACATAAGTTTTATTGTTTATTTGTTGTAAATATTTGTTATTATTTTGTTTTCCTAACCTCTTCTTGCAGGTTCTAAAAAAAACAAAAAAAAACACAAAAAAAAAAAACTAAAACAATACAAACAAAAAAAAAATAACCAAAAAAAAAGGTAAAAAAAATTCCTTTAAGTTCCTTTACTCTTGAACACTTATTGGACTTGGACATATTGATTTGGACATATTGGACATACCTGGACATATTAACTATCCCACAGGTCGGATTTTCTGCCAACGGTGATTGGACATTTTTTTTCCTTTATTTTGCCCGCTGACCGGCAAAGCCGTCACAGGGTTTACACATTTAATTACTGCACTTTACATTTCTGCATTTTTTTCTTTCTTTCCAGGCGTGCAAAGCCGCTATTGGATATTATATCTATATACTATATATTGTATATTATATATTATATATACTATATTATATATTATATATACTATATATATTATACATATTATATTATATATATATATATATATATTATATCTATATATTATTACTAACTTTTTTTAGTGTCCTCGTTGGTTTATTACCGCTTGGCACTCTAACCGCTAACTACTAACTAAGGTATCACTTGTCTCGGTGGTTTTTACCTCTTGACTTAAGTGAGAGCCTTTTTATTAATTTTTACACATTACATTTTTTTTTCTTTTCCTTTCCCCCTTTCCCTTCTCTTTTCATTTTTTCCTTCCCCCCCCCCCCCTTTTTTTTATTATTTTCTATTTCCCTTTCCCCTTCCCTCTCTCTCTAAACCTCCCCAATCCCTTTCTTTTTATGCTAACGTGTTCACGTGGGATTAATCAAGAAAAATTTTTCTTTCCAGAAATTGAAAAATATTTAAAAGAAATAAGAAAAAGAAAGAAAATGGAAGTCCCACGGAACAATGTTCTTGAAACTGTGCAGGAAATTCCGAGAAGACAAAATGAAGTTCCGAACAGGAGGACTCTTTCTGACTATGTCACTCCTCCTGTGGCGGAACACAACAGCATTATTCCACCGGATGTCACAGCAAACAACTTCGAAATCAAACCTGCTGTCATCCACATGGTCTCATCTGATCAGTTTGGTGGAGGACCAACAGAGGACCCACACAACCATATCACCAAATTCCTCCGAGCGTGCAATACGTTCAAAATCAATGGTGTGCCAACTGATGCAATCAGACTCCGTCTGTTCCCGTTCTCTCTAAGGGACAGAGCTCAAAGCTGGATGGATTCATTTCCAGACAATCACTTCACAACGTGGGACCAGCTTCATGGAGAATTTCTCAAAAGATTCTTCCCTCCTTCCAAAACAGCAAAGATCAGGAGAATGATCCAAAATTTCAAGCAAAATCTAAACGAGCCCCTTTACGAGGCTTGGGAAAGATTCAAAGATCTCCAAAGGCAATGCCCACATCACAATATCCAAAGCTGGCACCTAATGACGGCTTTCTATGAAGGCCTAAATGAAAACTCACGGATATTATTGGATGCCTCGGCGGGTGGATCATTCATGAGCCTTGGACTTGACGAAGCTGAAGAACTCATTGAGCGGATCTCAACAAACGGATCCACCTGGTACTCTGACCGTCCATCCACTCAACAAAAAATTGGAGGCATGTACGAAGTTGATCAAATGTCGGCCATGGCTGCTAAGGTCGATAACATGATGAGCATGATCCAAAAGATTGCCCAAGTCTCTGCTGTGCAAAACACTACGCCAGCACCGCCTCCTGTTCCTGTTCTCATGTGTGTATCTTGTGGTGGACAACATGATGAATCCACGTGTCCATGGGATGCAATGGAGCAAGTTGATTATGTCAACTACAACCGGCCGCAGCAACAACAAAAACCATTTGGCGGATTTAGTTCTCAAAACAGAAATCATCCTGATTTCTCTTGGAGCAATCCCAGTGGAGCTGCCAATCCACAAGCTTATCGGAGTTCACCACCCGGCTTTCAAAATCATCAGCAACAACAATTTAGAGGTGGCCAAGGTTTTGCTAACAATCAACAGTTTAAGCAAAACCAAAGCTTCCCCTATGTTTCCAATCAACAAAAGCCGATCCTGCCAACTCCTGAAACACCACCGGCTCCCGGCTTGGAGAACATTGTTGATCAACTTCTAAAATCTCAACTAGCCCAAGCTGAAACCTTGAAGAAGATTTCTGAAGAGCTTACTCAACTTCGAGCTCACAATAGGATGCTTGAAAATCAAATCTCTAGTCAAGCATCAACATCATCAACAAAGGTGACCGGGAAATTGCCAGCTTGTCCTGAGAATCCAAGAGAGCAAATGAATGCTATCACTACTCGGAGTGGGAAACAAATTCAATCTCCATCTCTTCCGAGTAGTGATCCTGAAGAAGAAAGAGGAGAGGATGTCAAAGAAGAAGCTCAAAACAAAGTCAAAGGAGATGCTGTTGAAATGCTGCCGGAGTCAATCCAGATCAAAGAAGGAAAGAAGAAAGAAGATGAGGGTTTGATAAGGAAATATGCTCCACCAATTCCTTTTCCAAACCGACTCAAGAAATCACATATTGAGGAACGAAGAACCAAGTTCTTGAACCGTATCAAGCAATTGGATATCTCTATTCCTTTGCTTGATGCCATCACCGAAATTCCTTCTTATGCCAAATTTCTCAAGGAGATCTTAAAAAAGAAGAAGGAAAATCCTCTCACGGTTGCCATGAGTCAAGAGTGCAGTGCCATTATCCAAAATAAGATCACACCAAAACTACGTGATCCTGGAAGTTTTTCAATTCCATGCTACATCGGAGGATCTAAAGTGAACAAAGCTCTTTGTGATCTTGGTGCAAGTGTTAGCTTGATTCCATACTCTCTGTGTCAAAAGCTACACTTAGGTGATCCAAAACCGACAACCATGGCGCTACAATTGGCTGATCGCTCTGTGAAGTACCCAATCGGCATTCTTGAAGATGTTCTTGTGAAGATCGATAAATACTATATTCCAGGAGACTTTGTTGTCTTGGATATGGAAGAAGATGCCCGAGTTCCTATCATTCTCGGAAGACCATTTCTAGCCACTGCTGGAGCAATCATAAATGTGAAGAAGGGTACACTCATCCTTGAAATCGGGGATGACAAGATTGAGTTCAATGTGCAAGAGCTGAGTAAGAATGCTGCATGCGTTCTTGATTGTTTCAACGTGGATATCATTGATTCATGTATTCTTGGAACTCTTTAGGAATCTCATTTACTCTCAAGAGATCCAATGGAGTACACCATATGCCAATCTGTTGAAGAGAAACAATCAAATGAGATGGTGAATTCATGCTTGGAGATTTTAGACTATCTCTCCGAACCAATGGAGGGACCGGAAAAATTTGAAGTCCTTAATCTTGAAGAAGAGCCTATGCCCAAAATTGACAAAGTACCTAAAGTAGAGCTCAAACCTCTTCCCTCTACTTTACGGTATGCTTTTCTTGGGCCCGACTCTACTTATTCGGTGATCATCAACTCTTCCTTAAATGCCAAACAAGAGGAGAAGCTGCTTAAAGTCCTTAGGGAACACCGGAGGATAATTGGTTACACCATTGATGATATTGTCAGAATCAGTCCTTCATATTGCATGCACCGCATCTATCTTGAGGAGGAACATAAACAAAGCATTGAGCACCAACGACGTCTTAATCCAAACATGAAAGACGTTGTCAAGAAAGAAGTGCTAAAGTTGTTGAGAGCAGGAATCATCTATCCCATTTCAGACAGCAAATGGGTTAGCCCTATTCATGCGGTTCCGAAAAAGGGAGGAATTACCGTTGTTAAAAACAACAACAATGAACTTATTCCTACCCGAATGGTTACTGGCTAGCGCATGTGCACTGATTACCGGAAGTTAAACAAAGCCACTCGGAAGGATCATTTTCCTCTCCCGTTCATTGATCAGCTGCTGGAAAGAATGGCCAAACATTCTTATTTCTGTTTTCTAGATGGCTTCTCGGGATTCTTTCAAATCCCGATTCATCCTCATGATCAAGAAATGACGACATTTACATGTCCTTATGGCACATTTGCATACCGAAGAATGCCATTTGGATTATGTAATGCACCTGCGACTTTTCAAAGGTGTATGATTGCTATTTTCTCAGAATACATCGAGGAGATCATGGAGGTATTCATGGATGATTTCTCTGTCTATGGGAATTCATTTGAAGATTGTCTAATGAATTTAGACAAAGTGCTGAGCAGATGCGAAGAAGCCAATCTTGTACTAAATTGGGAGAAATGCCATTTCATGGCAGCAGAAGGAATTGTACTTGGCCACAAAATCTCTGAAAGTGGTATTGAAGTTGATCCAGCGAAGATTGAAGTCATCGAAAAGTTGCCACCACCGAATTCTGTAAAAGGAATTCGGAGTTTTCTTGGTCATGCTGGATTCTACCGTCGTTTCATCAAAGACTTCTCTAAAATCTCAAAACCCTTGACAAATCTACTGCCCAAGGATGTAGATTTTAATTTTGATGCTAATTGTCAAGAAGCTTTTTCTAAGCTGAAGATGGCCTTAACAACTGCTCCAATTATAAGGCCACCCGACTGGAACTTACCATTCAAAATCATGTGTGATGCCAGTGATTATGCAGTCGGAGCTGTTCTAGGCCAACGTAAGGGGAGAGAACTCTATGCCATTTACTACGCAAGTCATACTCTTGATGATGCACAACTCAATTATGCAACAACTGAAAAAGAGTTTCTTGCGGTAGTCTTTGCCATTGAGAAGTTCCGATCATATCTCATCGGAAGTAAAATTATTGTGTACAGTGATCATGCTGCTATCAAATACCTCATGGCAAAGAAAGACTCCAAACCAAGGCTCCTAAGATGGATTCTTTTACTACAAGAATTTGATATGGAGATCAAAGACCGAAAGGGGTCGGAAAATGTGGTTGCTGACCACTTATCAAGGTTGGAAATTCCCGAAGCAAAAACTATGCCGATCAATGATTACTTCATCGGAGAACAACTTATGCTGGATAAAAACATTGATCCATGGTTTGCTAACATAGCAAATTATCTTTCAAATGGAATAATTCCAACCGGAGTAACTCATGCAGAAAAGAAGAAGTTGCAATATTACTCGCGAACTTACATCTGGGAGGAACCATTCCTCTACAAAATTTGTGCTGATGGAGTCATACGAAGATGTTTGCCCGAGGATGAAGTTACAAATATCTTACATCATTGCCATTCTTCCGCCTACGGAGGACACCATGGTAGCTCCCGCATAGTAGCAAAGGTGTTACAATCTGGTTTCTTTTGGCCTACTCTTTTCAAGGATGCCAACACCTTTGTTAAAAGCTGCGACCGTTGTCAACGCACTGGAAACATCGGGAGGAGAAATGAAATGCCTCAAAGGGGCATTCTTGAAGTTGAAGTTTTTGATGTATGGGGCCTTGATTTCATGGGCCCATTTCCGAAGTCAAATGGAAAGGAATTCATCCTCGTGGCTGTGGATTATGTATCAAAATGGGTTGAAGCAATTGCCACGTCCACAAATGATTCAAAAAGCGGTGATCAAATTTATTCGAGGGAACATTTTCTCTCGATTTGGAGTTCCAAGGGCAATCATCACCGACAATGGCACCCATTTTTTCAATAAAGCATTGGGACGAGTTCTTGCAAAGTACGGGGTTCATCACCGACTCTCGACCCCGTACCACCCGCAAACAAATGGCCAAGTCGAGCTTTCAAACAGAGAAATCAAAAGTATCCTTGAGAAGGTTGTTAATCCTTCAAGAAAGGATTGGTCTGAGAAGCTTGACGATTCTTTATGGGCATACCGCACCGCATTCAAAAATCCCATTGGCACCTCCCCATATCATCTTGTGTATGGGAAGGCATGCCATCTTCCTGTTGAGCTAGAACACAAAGCATTTTGGGCTGTTAAAAATCTCAACATGGATCTCTCATTGGCGGGTGAAAAGAGAATGTTGCAATTGAATGAGCTCGAGGAGTTCAGACTCTCAGCTTATGAAAATTCCAATATCTACAAGGAGCGAACCAAACAACTGCATGACAAGGTAATCTCTAAACGAGATTTCGCACCAGGAGACCAGGTACTTCTTTATAACTCTCGCTTTAAATTGTTCCCTGGTAAGTTGAGGACCCGGTGGTCCGGACCATTCGAGGTAGTGGAAGCATTTCCCTCCGGAGCTGTGCAACTTTGTGGCAAAGATAACGCCAAATTCATTGTAAATGGGCAACGTTTGAAGCGTTATCTTGCCAACGATCACCAAGAGGGAATGCTACTCTATTTCCTCGAAATGCCTGAATATAAGTGATTGCATTGGTCAAGCTAATGACCATAAATAAGCGCTTCTTGGGAGGCAACCCAAGTTTTCAAATTCTGCATTTTTTTTGTTTTAATAAGGTAATTGAATTTCAATAAGGCGTTTTCCAATTCACGCCATGTACAAAAAAATCAATTTACCAATTTTTTCAGGAATTATTTACTTAATTCTCCTTCATTTATTTTACACTGAGGACAATGTAATTTTAAGTGTGGGGGAGTGGGTAGATAAAACTTGACTTTTTGTGTGTATTTTCAAATAAAAAAAAGAAAAAAAAAATATTTTTCATTTTTGTTTTGTTTTTGTGTGTTTGAGTTGAATGATGAACAATCTTGATCCAAAAAGTAAAATTGAACATACAAATTCTTTGTTTATATGTCTTGTTTATATTTATATACATAACATTGTAAATTACAAAATCATCTCTTTTGACGGAATGTGGTATTAGTTTGAGAATTGTTTCATTATAACATCTTGAGAGTAACTGTGTCTGAGCCTTGAGTTAATTTCTGTTAATAATTTAACATAGAATACCATAGAGTTTTTCCAATTTATTGGTTTACTAGCTAAATTTAATTTGTTCTCCATGAAATGATGTTTTAATTTGACACATTTAGACATGATATAGGCCATCTTTGTTTAACCTCTCAAACCAAACCTACCCAATTAAAAAAAAAATCCCTAGTTGTCCCCTTTTGAGCCTTTTTCTGTAAATAAGTGTTACCACTTACCTCTTATTTGTCATTTTTTTTTTCTGTTACCCTGTAAATATTTAACCCTAAACCATTTTGCCAAAATAAATTATCCTTCCACCCTAGAGTAGATTGTCTTATTATTTGAGAAGGAACTTTAAAAAAAAAGTTAATAATTATTGGAGCACTGTGTATTTTTGTAAATAATTGAGTATGTCATTTTTTTCTTTTGTATCAAAGTTGTACATTCTTTGTCTTTCTAAAGATAATAATAACTTAGTGTGCCTTCAAAAAAAAGAATAAAAAAAAAGTTAAACAAAAAAAGGTAAAAAAAAGCAAAAAAAAAAAATAAATAAAAAAATAAAAATAAAAATAAAAATAAAGTTGAAAAAAAAAGAAGAAGCACACTAATCTTGAACTCTTTAGATTTTTAGACTTTATTCTTTTTGGGCATAAAAAGTAATTAAATAAAAAAAA